ATATATGCCTTTCTGCAGATATTCCTGCTAAATTCCCATCACTCAAATTTGTACAGTACAGCTCCAGCTTTAAAATATTTTAATAAAGTATACAGCAGATTATTAACCTTTCAAAAACTAGCATTTATGGGCTCGTTAGATAGTGTTGCTTTTTGTCTCACTACCAAGTGCATCTATCCTTAAAATTAACTACTGCTTTAGATTCGCAGATGGGATTTTACAATTTAGCAATCTGTAGCTGAAATAATGAATTAACTGCCATAAAATACTAGACTGACTACAGACCAGCATGTAACTTGGACTCAGCATTCACCAGCTGCACCTCATCTTCCTAATCTCTATGCTTTTTTTTTTTTTTTTGAAGCAGAGGCATTTAAGAGTTAAGTTACACAACTCGCTTTTTATTTTTAAAGTGAGTGGATTCCTTGTTGCGTTGTTGAGAATGATAAATTGATACCACATGTTGCTTCCAGACAAAAAAGTCTCTGTATTCCAGGGGAAGCACTTGCAGCTGGTGTCTGAGTTAATGGATGGGCTTCGCAAGGTAAACACAGTTTGGAAGAGTCTGAAACAAACCCAGGGTAGGAGGGGCTGGGATATTCTTGCAGTTTTAAAGACTTAGGGGTCTGCCAGCTTTGCTTGACCCTGATGGAACATTCAAGTACTTTTTAATTGTGAGCTTTTATGAAAAAGAGAAATTAAGCATCTATGTCAAATCCAGTCCATAAGGTCTTAGTGGTGACAAAATGCACTGCTGTGTCAACTGACCTGTTTGTAATCCTATCCGAATGTTGAAAGAAATGGGTTATCAGGATATGATAGACACATTTGTTCTCTTGAGCACGATTTGGCTGATTCTTTCAAGGACAACTACCTAAATCCCATGCAGTGGGTAAATCCTTGCCTACTGGACATGAAGTTCACTGCTCTGGAGTCTATAAAAAGTATTACCCCTATCAGTGATGATGATCTGTCCTCTGATTATTTGCCAGTAAACAGATGTATGTTGATGGACTGTTGTCTGGCACACAAGTGTTTGGTCCTTTTCACACACACGAGATTGTATAAGGAAGTTGAAGGTGCAAATGTGCAAGGAAAGCAAGCAAATATATGGTGAAGGATCCAGAAGAAAGGGATTGGCCTACTAAACCCTGCTCCTCTAACTCCCACAAGACAAATGTCAGGCCCCAAGCATTTCTTCCTACCCCTGTGGTCTACTTCCATCAGACTTCTCCTGCCAGGAGTGGTCTGTGATAGGTCTTTTCCAGGATTCTTTACCCATATGCTACCACAAGTCACATTGCACGTGTTCCCCAATACCAAGTTACAAAAGCACCATTGTCATAGCTTTAAAGCTCCTCATTGTATTTAGGCCTGGGCAAATTTGTTACATGTCTTAATGGCCTAATTCTACCCCTAGTGAAGTCAAAGGCAAAACTTCCACTGATTCAAATGCGAGCAGGTTCCTGTTGTATTTTTGTGTTTCCTTGAGTTTTTATTTTTCCTTTGTGGTTTGTCACAGTAGTAGTATGCATTTTTAATGCAGATCCTGGTGGGTGAAAATTTTCCAGATTTTTTTACATTTTTAATCTAGTTACATAACTGCATAAACCAGGTCTCAAATGGGGTTGCTTCTGCTTAGTTTACAGTCTGATATCCTAGTCCCGGCAGCCTACTGTGTGAATAGTCAGTCCTGTTGTATGTCAATGGCAAGATAGGGCTTCAGTTGACTTGGACAGATACAATAGATGTAACAGTGCTTCCAGCACAGGGAAGCAAGAAAACATAATTGGGGAAGTTAATATGGGAAGGCTATACAAAAGCATTGTATTTTAAGGAAATACTTGATGGGAGAGTGCGAACTGGGGAGAAAGAACTCTGGCGGCCAGTAAATGTGCTAAAAGAAAACAATCTTTTTTACAGAAATCGGTGAAGAAAGGCTTTAGCTGGTGGGCAAAGGGCATTTTGTGTAACAGAAGATGGACACAAACTTTTCTATAAGCACCCATTTTTATTAAAAATGATTGTTATATCCTTTCATTACGTGTAATACATGATTCTGATTGGAAGATTACCACTCACTTCCATGCACAGAGCACCTTGTCCTGGAAGATGCTAGGCCTGTCAACTATGTGTAGTCAGCACAAGTTGAGGCACTGAGCACTTTGGATTTTTAGGGGAAAATATCTATGATAAGGTTATAGCTGGCAGAAATAAGTCTTTCTGCCAGCAGATGACAGGTTGCTTTTGTATTGAAAATCGTTGGCTGTTGCCATTTTGGGCAATTTATTTTTGTGTTTTAAGGTATACAGTCTGCCATTCTTTTATCAATGCCAGTTTTTCTTTGTTGGTTTCTGTAAAAAGACTGTTTACTTTTGCATAAATATTTGCTAGCTTTGCATGTATAGATTGTGTGCCTAGTCTTAGTTGTGTTCTTGTTGCAGTGGCTTGTAATGATGCATAGCTCTTTCTTTTACTGTGTACAGCTAGACTTGGTCAAGCAAATGGACCCATGTCATAAATGCTCTCCTGTGCAAAGCATCACTGAGGTCAGCATGGCATGAGCACAAGAACTCACCCCCCTATGTCCAATTCAGGATCAGAACCTCAGTAGGACATTTTGGTGCCATTTAAAAAACTCAAATAACTTATTTAAAAGGTCTGTGAGGGTGACCCCAGGGTTTATGGGATGTGGTTAATACCTGTTAAAACAGATTCTTGCCAGACTCAAAATATGACTAGAACCTCATTAATTTAATAATAAAAATTCATTCCTAACTAGCCTGAGGAACTGTTGCACTGAGACTCAAACCAAATTATCTTGTTTTTTTAGTATTGTTCTTTGACAGTATTTGAGTTAATAACAGAGACACTGACACAAATTTCAGTGTAGTATCATTGTAAAGTCTTGTTTGCCATGTTGTGCAGGGTTTGTTTTTTATTTCAAGACTGTTCCAAGATGTAATTGAATTTGATTTTTTTCTTGTCATTAGAAGACAGTCAAGAATGTGTCTGGGGCCCATGCGTGCAAAGAAGTTAGGGGTGTTGTTCATAACTGAACCTGACCAAAACCACAGCACTTGGAGGGAAAAAAAAAAAGATTTATGCTTAAAGGAACAGAGAAAAAAAATCAACTGGGCTGTATTTCTTCACACACCCAGCATGTCTTCAGTTCATTTACGTCAAACATCCTTCTATGCTAATGGCATGAATGCCAAGATGTTTATGAATAATTGTTGGTTGCAAGCGTTTCTTGTCCATTTGAAACTGGAATCCCTTAAGCACTTAGTAAATGGAAAACACTCATTGGGCTTGTTTGATTACACTGAAATCCTGTTGACTTTCTGTTTTTAAAACATGCTGGTGGAACACATGTATTTGTATCTTCCACATAGATACAGCTGACATTTGCCAATATTTTAGGGAAAAAAAACTTCTGTGACTTTTTAAACTTGTTCCTATTTAACATACAGCATTAGTACAACTGTATTGCCAAGATAATATGGCCTAGCTCCAAAATTCTTTAGCTTACAGATAGAAACAAAAAGCCTAGAAAACCTTTTGCAGACAAATGCTTCTTCCTAGTCCTCTTTTTTTAGCTGTAGTCCCAAATCTCAGTCTCATTTACACCCATGTGAATTTAGAGCAGTTTTACAAATGTTACCAGGGACTGGTTGTTTTCTGTTCATCTTAGATTTTTTTTGTACTGGCATTGATCACCATAGCATGAGTTCACACAGTTTTTTGAGAACATGTGCACCTTGTCCATTGGCGCATAGTCAGAGTTCTGTTTTTTATTCCCTGTGGACAGTTACCTTTGGCATCTCACTAGATTTTGGCTTTACTTGACTTTTTAAGGGGACAGTCCTGCTGTTCTAATGATTTTATAGTGGATGAATACCCAACAATTTAAGGAGATCGGGGAGATGTTGTGGGTGTCGAAGCAACAGAGCAGGTACAGTGTAGACATAATTCAGATGCCACCAATAGAATGAAACAGTACGCTCCACCTCCAGGGTGCATCTTCCGTGGGAGAACCAGGGGTAGCGATTGCCACCTGCACAGGAGTCTTATAAGGCATATATAATGTTGCATTGCAGTGAAGAATACAGATGCTCTCACATATGCTGCAGTGAAAGGCCCAGCCTTTTGACCTGTTTTAGCTAAGTGGTTGCAGTCCTTATTTCAAGGGAGTCGGGACAGCAGTTAGGCCTCTGCCGCACATGGATTAAATGAGCAGTAAGTGGCCAATATCCCCCACCACACATACATTCTTCCCCCTTCCCCTTCCTGCAGCAGAGAAGGCAGAGAAGTGGCATGCAGTGGAGGAACAACTGGAGGGTTGCTGCTGTGATGAGGGACATGTCAGCCCCCTTTTTTGCTGCCAGTAGGCATAGTGAGCCACCAAAAAAACACCGGTTGTCAGTGGCAAAAAGCAGACATCTCCCCCCTTATAGCAGTGAGCCTCCATCCAATCCTCCACTACACGCTGCAGCTACTTTCCTGCCTTCCTTGCTTCTGGAGCCAGAGAGAGAGCAGGGAAGGTGCAGAGTATATGTGTGCACATATGGAGAAATGGGGTATGGGAGGGAAGGTCATTCCACAGCTCCATTCTGGTGTCCCTTTCCTCCTTTGGCAGTACCTGGAACTTGTGCCCTACTTATCCACCTGTTGTTATACTACTGGCCTCCAGGGTGTTTTATTTGGTCAACAGGAGGAAAAAGTGCCAGTCCATCAGCCATCAGTGGCTGGGACTTGAGGTTCTGTGTTTTTGTTTTTCTTCTTGCAGTTGAATGATTTAAGGGAAGCTTACTACCACATTTGAGAGCTAAAATCTGGGCAGTTTGCATCCCCTGCCTGACCAGTTCAAAGCATTGGAGTGGCTCAGGGTTTTTATCTGTTCCTTGGGCTTCATTTACTGTTTTTTTTGCATGGTGGAGAGTAGACTAGCAGAGGGAGTGGTGCCTGTCTTGACCGCTTGTTTCATTCTTTTTGCACAGAATTCAATCCGGCATAACCTATCACTTCATAGTCGATTCATCAGAGTGCAGAATGAAGGAACCGGGAAAAGCTCTTGGTGGATGATCAACCCAGATGGTGGGAAAGGAGGCAAGGCCCCAAGGAGACGTGCTGTTTCCATGGACAATAGCAACAAGTACACTAAGAGCAGGGGGCGGGCCGCTAAGAAGAAGGCAACTCAACAAGCCGCACAAGAAGTGAGTGATGACAGCCCTTCTCAGCTTTCCAAGTGGCCAGGGAGCCCAACATCCCGTAGCAGTGATGAGTTGGATGCCTGGACAGATTTCCGATCTCGTACAAATTCAAATGCTAGTACGATAAGTGGCCGCTTGTCACCCATATTGGCAAGTACTGAACTGGATGATGTTCAGGATGATGACGCTCCACTTTCCCCAATGCTGTACAGTAGTCCATCGAGCTTGTCCCCATCAGTAAATAAGCCGTGTACTGTTGAGTTGCCTCGGCTAACCGATATGGCAGGCACAATGAACTTAAACGATGGACTGACAGATAATCTCATGGATGATCTTCTGGACAATATAACGCTCCCCTCTTCCCAGCAGTCACCTTCTGGGGGGCTGATGCAAAGAAGCTCCAGTTTTCCATATGGCTCCAAAGGTTCGGGTCTTGGTTCTCCATCCAGTAGTTTCAACAATGCTGTGTTTGGACCATCCTCTCTGAATTCCCTCCGCCAGTCTCCCATGCAAACTATACAAGAGAACAAGCAAGCTACCTTTTCCTCCATTTCTCATTACAACAACCAGACACTTCAGGACCTGCTGGCATCTGATTCACCTAGTCACAGTGATGTCATGATGACGCAGTCAGATCCGCTCATGTCACAAGCCAGTACTGCTGTGTCTGCCCAAAGCTCACGCAGGAATATAATGCTTCGTAATGACCCAATGATGTCATTTGCTGCTCAGTCCAGCCAGGGAAGTTTGGTCAATCAGAACCTGCTCCACCACCAGCATCCATCTCCAAATTCTCCTCTTAGTGGCAGTCGTGCCTTGTCGAATTCAGTCAGTAACATGGGCTTAAATGACACGAACAGCTTGGGGTCAGCCAAACACCAGCAGCAGTCACCTGTCAATCAGTCTATGCAAACACTTTCTGATTCACTCTCAGGCTCTTCTTTGTATTCTGCTGGTGTGAACCTTCCAGTCATGGGACATGATAAATTCCCAAGTGATTTGGACCTGGATATTTTCAATGGGAGCTTGGAATGTGACATGGACTCCATTATCCGCAGTGAGCTCATGGATGCAGACGGGTTGGATTTTAATTTTGATTCCCTCATCTCAGCTCAGAACGTTGTCACTCTAAATGTGGGGAACTTCACTGGTGCTAAACAGGCTTCATCACAGAGTTGGGTGCCTGGCTGAAGGACTGCTGGGAACAGAGGAAATGGGCAAAGCAGGTCAGTACCTTGTAGAAGTAAAATACTAATCTCTTACTTTTTATTGGCAGTCATGCTAAGAAGTTGATAGTTCATATGCGTTAATAGTGTTAATATGCTCTGTGGTGAACTTGGAGCCAATTTCTATTCCACCTATTAGGTATCTAAGAGGACTTAGTTGCCTAAATGAAACTCTATTCCACCCTGTTCAAGTCCTGAAAATCCATTAATGAATCTACTTTTATAATGAGTAAGCATACCATTAAGATTTAGTCACAAAAAAAGTTGCAAGGGGGAAGACCCACCCACCTTATATATTCAGTGTTTTTCAGGAACTCAAGGCGGAATAGCATCACACTTAAGATTGCACTTAGGTACCTACGCTCAGATTCCATGTCCTCTATCGTTACAGTCCAATCCTGTAGTCTTTCCTGCACATGTTTTCTTTTAATGTCATTAGGAGTTCCCCACAGAACACCAGCAGGCTTGGCCTGTCACACAATTTATTTTTAGATATTACCCTCTTCACGACTTTTTGAGCTTTCTAGTTTTGTGGATTTCTTGGCAGTACCTTTTTATAAGGAGGGTGAGATCTGTATTTGTAAATCTTGCTCCTGGCATCTGTGATCCTTCTTACTCCCCCATATTGTTTGGGTTTTCACCTTGGCCCATCCATCCAGCTTCTGACACACCCATATTCACTGGATCATGGCATGTGTTCTCCCAAACTGCCCTATTTCCCTTTTTAATTTATTATTAGAAGAGGATAGGTATCCATAGTTTCATAGTAGTTGCATAGTACGTGGGGTCGGAAGGGACCTGAGCAGATCATCAAGTCCAACCTCCTGCCATGGGCAGGAAAGAAAGCTGGGGTCAAATGACCCTGACTAGGTGATTATCTAGCCTCCTTTTGAAGACCCCCAGGGTAGGAGCAAGCACCACTTCCCTTGGAAGTTGGTTCCAGATCCTAACCACCCTGACTGTGAAGTAGTGCCTCCTAATATCTAGCATGAATCTACTCTCAGTCAACTTATGGCCATTATTCCTCATTACTCCCGGTAGTGCTTTGGGGAACAGCCTGCTGGTCCCCCTTGGCCAGTTGGTAGATGGTCACCAGATCCCCTTTCAGCCTTCTCTTGTAGAGGCTGAACAGGTTCAGGTCCCATAGCCTCCACTTGTAGGGCCTGCCTTGCTGCCCCCTGATCATGCGAGTGGCCCTCCTCTGGACCCTCTCGATGCTGTCCACATACCTCCTGAAGTGTGGCGCCCGGAACTGGATGCAGTACTCCAGCTGTGGCCTGACCAGTGTCGCATAGACGGGGAGGATCACCTCCTTGGACCTGCTCGTGATGCATCTGTGGAT